TAAATGGATCCACATTCATTTAAGAATAGAGAACAATAGATGGATGATAAATGAGGAAATAAGGGTAGCTGAACACAAAATAAAAATTTGGGAAAGTAGGTGGGGTTTGTACATAAGACAAAAACGATGTATGGGTAAGAATAGAGATATAGGTGAACAATTTTAGTAAAAAAATAAGATAACGAAAAAAGAATGAGAAATGACTGAAGGGCCTAAAGCGTCAGTTTGGGTTCTCTATCAGCTGGCGTCGCTTGGCCTCATGAACAGCTAAATACCGATCATACATCTTGCGGGCACGATTAAGCAGACGCAAAGTGTTATGCCGTTTACTCATGCGCTGATAGAAGTGAACCAGGTCGCATACCTCATGCACACTGAGCACGATTTCCTCGCGGTACTCGAGCAGCATTGCAAGACATAGAAAGAGGAGAAAAGGCTGCCCATAGCCCAGTTGATCAGGCGGAGGCAACTCAACAACGCAATCTTTGAGCTGAACTACGGGTGGCGAGGAATCGAGCGAGGCACTGCTAGAGAGGCGAGTCCGCCGGCCAAAGGTGCTTGACTCGTAAACTTGAGGCAAATGCCCAAAGGACACTGGTGCCTGATTAGCACCTATAAATAAATACGTATGCTCATTTAGATTGATTCTTTTAATCTTATATATAGAAGTCTCAAAGGAATTTATTTAAGGCAATACAAAGCAACTACAACTCAGAATCGAATATATGAAGAACAAGATGGTGTGGCTTTTTGTGTGGTCACAGTCTCTTTCGTTTTATAGAGGTTGTTTGACCTGGTTTTCGCAACATGGTCATATTGGTAGGAAGACTTAGAGAAACGCACCTAGTCCGGAGTTCATTGTCTGCATGATCAATTCTAAAGTTTAACCGTGAATGTAGTACATTCCCAAACGCTTCGCCGGCATCCTCAGTGAGTATCGCCATCCGTAGCACCATACAACAACTCGTCAAACATACAAGTGAAGCCGATGCTTTGACCAAACGTGTGCTAAACAATTATGGTATCAGCCCTTCTGCCCTGGGTTATTCGCATTTCCAGAAGCATCTTATCATGCCTTCACTATTACCATTTTTACCGTGTTTATTTAGTTATAGTGCGGTGTGCTCCTTTAAGCGACATGACACCTTCACACTCCAACTCTCTTAATGACCTTTCGGATCTTGCGTTTTCTCGTGTTTTCACCATATCCAGCCAACCTATCAGTCGATTTCATGCCCCATCCGTGCAATGTGTTCCGCTATTTCTGATATTTGTGTGTCCATGTTCCTGCAGAGTCTTTGATGTTCCTTGATACGCAGGTCGATTTTTCGTCCTGTCTCACCTATGTCTTTCTGCTCACAGTTTCCGCATTTGATGCGATAAACTCCCGAACATTCAAGTTTATCCGTCTTCTCGTGTTGTCTTGGCAGACCGGTGAAAAGTGTTTTCTTCTCCCTTGTTATCACCTTAATATTCCATTTTCCTAATAAAGATCGCAATTGTTGGCTCAGTTTTGATGAGGGCAAGCAAATCCACCTTTGGTTGTTATTCTCATTTCTGATATGATTTTCATAAAATTTAAGTTGAAATCAGCCCTTTATAACCTCTACATTTTTCTTGATAAATTCTCTGGGGTATCCATTACTTAGACAAATCCGTGTCAGTTTGTCTAACTCCTCGTCCCAGAACTCTTTGTCTGTTAGTCGTAAACTTCTCATGATAAAACTCCTCAGTATTCCGATCTTCAGTCTGTAGTTATGAGACTGGAAATTAAGGATTATTCCTGCGATCAGAACACATGTCAAATTCAAAGGAATGATCCAACCACGTAGATCAACGGGACACTGAAGAATATGCTTAAGGAAATGCATACAAATTGGGAAATAGACAGGTGGTGATGAAATCTTTAATAAAAAACGACGCAAGACCACCAACAGCCTACGGACTACAGAAGTTACACAAGGGAATTCTCTAAGATTAAGAGTCAACAACAAGCATGGAGCAATGCACAAACTAGCGAAATTCATTTGCTTGAAGCTCAACAAAGTAAATAACAGACTCTTGAATACCGTCAAGAATTCTTATAAATTTTCTCATAGGATCCAGAACATTGGGTTAGTGGGGTCGGAGCCTTTGGTGAGTTTCGATGTACAATCCATGTACACAAACATCTCAGTCGAGAAGGTGGTAAGTGCCTTGCTGGAAATATTGGAGAGAGAAGTGCTCATGCGATACTTGGATAACTACTTTGCACTTTGATCAAATTGTAAGGAAAATTTAAGTGAATTCTTCAATTTCATTAACCAACTTGATGAAAGAATTAAATTTACAATGGAGCTGGAGGAAGATGAACGACTACCATTTTTGGATGTTGAAGCCATACGCTCCAGAGGGACACTCATTAGGAAACTATACAGAAAGAGTTCGTATGCGGGAATAATGCTTAATTTTTAGTCTCATCATAACAATATACTGAAGATCGGAATACTGAGGAGTTTGATCATGAGAAGTTTACGACCAACAGACAAAGAGTTCTGGGACGAGGAGTTAGACAAACTGACACGGATTTGTCTAAGTAATGGATACCCCAGAGAATTTATCAAGAAAAATGTAGAGGTTATAAAGGGCTGATTTCAACTTAAATTTTATGAAAATCAGATCAGAAATGAGAATAACAACCAAAGGTGGATTTGCTTGCCCTCATCAAAACTAAGCCAACAATTGCGACCTTTATTAGGAAAATGGAATATCAAGGTGATAA